TGTTTGGTTCTTTTGAGGAGACTCGTAGTTGTCCTTTGTGATAGCTAGGTGTCGCCCTAACAGGTATGGCACAGTTCTCAGGCTTCATGATCATTTCATGAGATGTGGTATCTAGAACGGGCAAAGGATTTCATCTTGTTGAGAGTCATGGCCTCACAATCCAGAATGGAACCAGCCAATGGGATTTGTTTCAATCACTACCTTACATTGGGGGTATTATCTCTGGTAGGTCCCTCAGCTAAATCTAGTGCGAGACGGTTCAAAAACCAGCCTATATGCTATAGCTCCGAGAATTTATCAAGGACAGACAACTGCACTTTCAATATTGGAGCTTTCCATTGACCTGCACATTCTGATTTACGAAGTGAATGGAAAGGGTCTTCTCTAAATTGTCTTCGCCAAAGTGGTCGCCCGCATCGTTGTACAGTATTTGCAAAATGAACAAAAATACATACAGGTGCTACCAGGGTTCGAACCTGGGTTTCGGGAAGCTATGGATCATCAGCTGATGATTTCAAAATCCCGAGTGATAACCACTACACTATAGCACCTTAACATCCTCAAAGTACATATTTTATATATTGCGCAATTGATGGCAAGAGTCGAAGCCCTCAATGACTCTCCTTCGCACAAGGGCAGTCGACTTTTCTCTCTACTGTATATTAATTTCACGACAGTCCCATCTCCCCTTCTGCACCAAACTGACTATCATGACCACTCACATATCATCTAACGTGTATTGGAATATTCAGTCGCGAAGACCATATCATTAATGGTGAATTGCTACGGAATATCGTACATGACATAGCACAGTCAATATTTGCATAGTATATGTTATCATTTCAACCGAACATAATCCTCTTGACATAGGCATGCACGACGGAGTCACTGCGACGAATGTAGGGAGGGAAAGGGCGACTGCCGTCAAAATCTCTCTGTCTGACACGCCTCGAGTTGGGACGTTGACGAATGGTCCCACCGTTAGCGACAGACGCGCCGGATTGACCACTCGACGTTCCGCCGTTACTCGCCGCCGAACCTGCGCCTGTTCCGGATGTCGTACCAGAACCAGAACCAGTTCCAGATGTACCTGTGGTTGTACCTGCCCCAGCACCCGACGCGCCCGTGCTTGAACCTGATCCTGCCCCAGAAGTTGCGCCAGATCCACTCGTCTGAATGACACGAGTGCCAGGACGTTGGCGAACGATACCACCGTTGTTCAGCGTCACACCAGATTGACTACTGGTAGTGCTACCTGTAGTACCGGTGCTAGTGCCAGCAGATCCTGCACCAGAGCCAACACCAGCACCAGCACCGGCCCCTGTAGACGTGCCCGATCCAGTTCCAGTGCCACTGGCAGTACCGCTACCTGCTGCAGGAGTTGTGCCAGAACCGTTCGTCGGGCGACGGGAATTGGGGCGCTGTCGTACTGTCCCTCCGTTACTCAAGTTTGTGCCGGATTGTCCACTGGTGGTTCCACCGCTATTGGTGTTGCCCGATGGGGTAGAACCACCGCCAGAGCCTGAATTATCGCCGGTGCCAGAGGTAGGCCCACTGCCATTATCTGTTACTGTACCCGTACCGCTTCCAATTCCGCTACCATTGCCCGATACTGAACCCGTGCCCGTGCCCACGCCGACACCGGTTGACGCGTCATTGTCAGTACCTGAGCCGACAGCTGGATCGGACGGAATGGTTGGTCCAGATCCATTGCCATCTGCATCACCAGTGGAAGGTGTGGTGGTAGCGCCGTTGTTGCCTGTTAAACATTAGTACTGGAGATTGGGAGATGTGTTGTTAACATACTCGAGTTATCGCCAACAGTAGGGTTACCGGAAGTTACGGTGGAACCAGCACTTGCACCAACGCTAGCATCAATTGTCGAACCAGCTGTCGGATCCGAACCACTCTCCGTGGTAGGTGAGTCGGAAGTATTGTCCCCTGTAGCAGGATTTCCGGTAGAACCGGCATCTTCGCCACTGGTTGGACTTGGGGCACCTCCAGGGACGGGATTGTCGATGGGATCGGTCCCGACGGTGGTAGGATCCACAGAGGGACCGACTCTTGGATCAGTACTATCGTCAGAATTGGATGATCCACTCGTTGTTTCTGTATCGCCACCTGTAGCAGGATCAACTATGGGGTCGGTATCGTCAACCGTAGTAGGCTCGTTTGCTACATTTCCGTCACCACCCGGGGCAGGGTTATCACCAGCGTCGGTGCCTATTGTGGTGGGGTCGACGGTAGGCTCGTCAAGTGGCCCGGGTTGCTGCACGGCGGAATCATCTGTAGAATCACCAGCGTCGTCGGATGTAGGTTCGTCTACCGGACTCCCGTCTCCTGCGGGAGCAGGATTATCAGCAATGTCAATACCGATGATGGTAGGGTCGTCGACAGATATCTCGTCAAGTGGCCCAGGTTGGCTCGCAGCAGAGTCATCCGTACTGTCACCGGTAGAAGCCTCGTCTGCTGAATGTCCGTCTCCTGCGGGAGCAGGATTGTCGCCCGCATCAGTACCGATTGTGATAGGATCGACGGTAGGCTCGTCAAGTGGCCCGGGTTGCTGTACGGCGGGATCATCTGTAGCATCACTACCGTCGCCGGTAGAAGGCTCGTCTCCTGAGCCTGCATCTCCAGCAGGTGCAGGATTATCACCAGCGTCGGTACCGACAGTGATGGGATCGACGGTAGGCTCGTCGAGTGGCCCGGGTTGCTGCACGGCAGAGTCATCTGTAGGATCGCTATCGTCACCGGGAGCAGACTCATCTACCGGACTAGCGTCTCCTGCGGGGGCAGAAGTGTCAGCAATGTCAACACCGACGGTAACAGGGTCATCGACATAGATCTCATCAAGAGGCCCTGGTTGGGTCACTGCAGAATCAGCTGTGGGGTCGTCATCGACGGTAGTAGACGTCGCGTCGTTGGTACCATCTTCCGGAGGAGCTGGGAAATCGATTATAGGTCCTTCGTTGTCTCCATCACTAGGCGCAGGATTATCGCCCGCGTCAGTTACAACGGTGACAGGGTCGTCGACATAGATCTCGTCAAGAGGCCCAGGTTGAGCCGCTGCAGAATCAGCTGCGAGGTCGCCATTGGCGGTAGTGGACGGTGCGTCGTTGGTATCATCTACTGGGGGAGCTGGGAAATCGATGATTGGTCCTTCGATGTCACCGTCACCTGGAGTTGGGTCGGCACTAGCGTCACCTTCACCGGAGGAGTCTGTGGTTTCGTTCGTCGTATCGTCATCAGAGTCGTTAGTATCATTAGAGTCGTCGGTGGTGTCATTAGAATTGTCGTCACTCGCGTCATTAGAGTCGTTAGATGTGTCGTTAGAGTCGTCGGTGTCGTCATTAGAATTGTCGGCGGAATCGTTTGAGTCGGCAGGAGTACCAACAGTAGAGGAAGCGTCAATCGAAGTTTCCGACGAATTGTCTGTCAAGACTATTGGTACACAAACGGACTATATGCGCAACAACATATACAAACCTTCGTTATCCGAAGAACTGGAAGTGTTGTCACTGCTGCCATCTGAAGTGAAGGTGTCCTCTTCTGCGGGCGATGCAGACGAGTAAATCTCGATGTTGTCGGCCGCGGTGACAGTAGTATCCGATGGATTACCTGTAAACGTGTGAGCACATTGGCATTGACACCGACGTGTAAGACTCACCCTCATCTGCGGGCGACGCTGATGTGTTTGTGACTCCAATTTCGTCAGAAGTGCTGTCCGCAATGCCGACGTAATCATCGGGAAAGTCAACGCCCACAACGATGGTAGGACTGTCTGACTCTGCACCGGATCCTGCACCGTCGCTGCCATCCGTTATCGTAACTGTACCGGTGATAGCCTCTGGGTCGGACTCAGAAGATTCAGCAGAATCCTCGTCATTATTCGACACTGTGCTCGTCACGGTGTTGCCGCCATCCTCGCTAGGGTTGATATCCGCGGTTACGACCGTAGAATCACCCTCACCATCACGAGTTTGGAGGAAGGCTACGTTGTGAGTGGTCGTTAAAGGGCGACCAGCGACGAGAACAGGTGAGCAGGTGGCGGCGAGAACGATGAGGGCGGAGAGATAGTTGTTTCGCATTGTGAGCTGAAGGTGTGCTTTTGTCGAAAAAGTCTGCTTGTTGGAAGTCGACGTATGCGTAAACGTGACTTAGCGTGCGTGATGCGGGCACCAGTTCCGACTTGTGAATGAAAATGTAAGTGGTCGGTACGTGGGATCTTGGGGGCGTACGTACGTCGCGACGAGAAGCACGACCCTTATGTACGTTAGGGACCGTCCATGGAGAACGAATACGTACCCGTTGAGCAGGAGTAACACTGGTGGTTGCTGTAGTCTGCTATGGTTTTACATCCGCACCCGCCTCCGTACCAAGTGAATTCGGGACGGAGGCAAGCACCTGCCTCTACCCGAAGCGAGGCAGACTTCGATCGTTTATGCAGTGGGTGATCATGGACCTATGGAGTATGAGACTTGGCAGTGGTGTCAAAGCCCTTGGGCTGACCTACGATGGTTTTCCGCACAATCAGGTGGAGAATCACTAGTATATGCGCCTCGGCAAGAATGCACTGTTGGGACAAACGTCTGTCGCGATTCGAGAAGGAACAGTGATCCCTGTGAGATGCGACGACGAGATAATGATCAAGTCACCTGCCCTGTATGCTCACCGTTGGCATTCCAGTGCCGACTGTCAATTGCGCTGGACGTGTTGAGCGGTAAAGTGTATACTCAGCTTCCGCAATCCGTAGGTTTACAAGGCACATCCGCGGGTACAGCCAGGCGTTCTCCACGGGAAGTCTAGACCACTGATAACCTTCCGTCGACCAAATCCTTCTATGAGAGAGCACAAAGCACTGGCATAGCCATGGGAATACATCCATGAAGAAGACATGGATGGCCCGTGGATGTCGTTGTGTCGCCAGCCAAGCGGAGGCGGGTGGGCTAATCAGTGTGAATAGAGCCCTTGCAAGGCCCATGAGCGATGCAGGTTGTGCTGTGCATGACTTTTTCATCTGCGTGATGGTGTTCGACGAACCAGCCGTTGTCTCGTCGACGCCGAGAGCAGCGAAGGAGAGTGCGTCACGGGGAACGTAATCACAGGAGTTGCCAAAACGGGAAGCGGGCGGCAACGAGCGGGCGGAGGTGGGATGGCCTTGTGAGAGGCGAGAGTCTGAGGGTCACACTCATTCTGTCTCGCACTGTCTTGCACTCGGTCGCCACTGTCCAGCTTCCTCCTCAGCACTCGCCTGCATGCTCTGAGCCAGAGGCTCACAGGGAGCTCCCCCGGCCATGATCATCCTCGACGGCGACACCGAGCAACTCCCCAAGCTAGCCGACCCTGCACCGACCTATGCCCCCGTCAATCGCTGCACCACCCCGACGTCCTCTCTTCCCGACTACGATGCATCCGAGGCACAGCTCCTCGAGTTGAAGAAGGAGAGCTGGTCAAAATGGAACAGGAGGAGGCCTGTCTCCAGGTGTTGGCGAATACTGGTCATATTTCTTTTGATTTACACCTTTCTGACTATGGCGATCGGGATCCCTTT